TGTGAAAACCTTCTTTTAACTCATCTTTCATTCGCAGATGACTTGTTGATTTTTGTAGAAGGCTCCTTTGAATCAGTTGCTGGGGTTTTCACGGTGCTCTCTCAGTTTGAGAAACTATCAGGGTTGGCGGTTAACATAAGCAAGACTTCGATGTTCTGCTCAGGGGTCTCTGATGAGGTTTTGGATCAGCTTAGGAACCGGTTTTCTTTATTTCCGGGTTCCTTACCGATCCGTTACTTGGGACTTCCTCTATGCTCAAGGAAGTTAACTATCTCGGACTGTGATCCGTTGTTGCAACAAATCAGAACAAAATTGAATGGGTGGATGCATAGACATTTAAGTCTCGCAGGCCGCCTAACTCTAATTGCAACGGTTATTTCTGGTATCATTGGATTTTGGACAGCAGCGTTCTTTCTCCCAAAAAAGGTTATTCGAAAAGTAAACTCTCTTTGTAGTTCCTTTCTCTGGCATGGTTCTTTGGATGGCCCATCTAGTGCAAAGGTCTCCTGGTCCAGTTTATCATATCCTAAATCCGAAGCTGGACTTGGAATCAAATCTATACTGGAATGGAATGATACTTGTGGTCTAAAGCTTATCTGGATGCTCTTCTTTAGGGCTGGCTCGATTTGGGTTGCTTGGATAAGAAGCAGATATCTCTCTCGTTCTTGTTTCTGGTCGTTAAACGAAGATAATCAGTCATTCTCTTGGATGTTCAGAAGGTTATTAAAATTGCGACATAAAGCTGTTACTTTTCTCAGAATCTTGATTGGAAATGGTGAGGAAACATATTTTTGGTGGGATCCGTGGACGCCTTTCGGTCCTCTTATTCATTTCTTAGGACCGCAGGGTCCTGCCTCCCTTGGGATTCCTTTGTTCTCCCTTGTTATGGAAAGGCTTTCTCCTGCCGGTTGGTGCTTACCAGCGGCACGATCAGAAATTCAACTACAGTTATTCTCCTTCATCACAACTATCTCATATTCTAATGTTTCTGATGTTGCACAATGGCTGGTTGGGGACAAAGTTTGCAAATCTTTTTCTTCCAAAGTGACTTGGGATAATATTCGTAACGTTAAACCGCATGTATCTTGGCATCCACTGGTTGGGCACAAGGCGGCGCTTGGCTTTTCACATTGGACATAAATCCAACTTTATCACGCCTTGCTTCGTGGGGCTTGGATGTGGAGACAACAAGTTTACTGTGTGGCCAGGACATTGAATCTCGTGACAATCTCTTTTTTGTTTGTCAATACACACAGGAAATTTGGAGGGCTATATATTACTCATAAGCTTCATTTGCCAAACCTTCCTTTCTCTTGGCAAGATATACTTACTTGGTTAAAGAGGGCATGCACTTCTTCTGATCGATCTTTAGCCCTTCTACAAGGTTGGCAAGCCGCCATTTATGAAATTTGGAAAGAGAGGAATAGACGTTTCCATGACGGTGCCACTCTTTCTCCTTCACTTATCCTTCAAAGGATCTTCGTGGTTGTGAAAAATAAATCCATTGCAATGGAGAACTTGGGTTCGGGTCGAGGCGAGGCTCTTCTTCGAATTTGGTCAAGCATCTGACTTATGCGTATCAACTAAATCTGTGATATGTTGACTCTATGTCAACCCTCCT